TATGGGATAATATGCTGGAAGATACATAGATTATATGCAAATATTATATCAGTTTGTATGAAAGACTTGATGCCGGTGGGTTTTAGTATCCATGGGTAAGAGTGGTTCATATCTCAGAACAAATTTTCTATAGTGTGAGGAGTGTCTACAAAATTAGTGATAGCGGAGCCTTGTGGGTCAAACATGTAATCCCAGTTCCCCAAGAGTTGGTCTTCCTAAGTAACAGTGAGTTCAAGGCCAGCCTGAGTAACTTGTTTAAAAAACAAAAATGGGGTGACTGGGATTGTAGCTTAATGGTAGACTATTTGCATTAAATTAAGTTGACCCCAACATTGGTGTTGCCCACTGCCCCAGAATTGGTAGACTAGATGAAGGAATAGGTTCTGAAAGGTAAAGTAAGATTCCCTCCCTCCAGACGTACTTGACTCAAGGGGTTTTTATTTGGTTGTGGTTTTGAGTATATGTGTTTTGTTTGTTTTTGGTGCTGTTTTCTGAAGCAGAGTCGTGTAAAACTCTAGCTGGTCTTGAACTTTTTATGAAAGCCTTTCTGATCTGGTCCTTGTGGTGATGCCTCTGCCTCCTGAGTGCTGGGGTTATAGGCATCCTGACTTCAATGACACTAGTAACTAAACTAAGGAGTTCTAGGAATTTGGGTTATACTTTTAAAACAAAACTTGATGTTTTTATGTGTAGGGGTATTTTGCCGAAGTGTATGTTTGTGCATCTTGAGAATGAAGGTGTGGAGCCTACAGAGGAAAGAAGAGAGGGTATTGGACCCCTTGGAGTAGAGTGACAGGTTGTGAGCTGCCATGTGGATGTCGGGAGTCGAATCCTGGACTCTTAACTGCCAAGCCATCTTTGCAGTCCCATGGGTTGTATTTAAAGTATTGGAAAACTAGTGGAAAACTATTTGAGGGATATTTTGAAAGCGGTGTAGAGAATAGAGGGCGAGAAATGCTTGGGAAGTATGTCAGCTGTCTTGATGAGGAGTAAAGGAGTGGGTGTGTTACTTAAAGGGAAGTGATTCGTTGGGGAGATAGGAAATTGACAAAATAGCATAATTAAGAGAAAACGCAGGCTCTGGATAACATCTCTTCAGTTTTATATAAATGATCCAGGAAGAAAAGTTCTGAAAATAAATGTGGTTAAATATGTCATAAAAGTAGTTTCTGACTGGGCATGCAACTTCGTGGTAGTTGCTTAGCCTACAAAAGGCCCTGGGTTTGATCCAGCACTGAAACCCACAAATTACAGTTACTTTTACTTTCTGTTTGTTTGTTTGTTTGTTTGAGAGACAGGGTTTCTCTGTGTAGCCCTGGCTGTCCTAAAACTTGCTCTGTAGACTAGTCTGGTCTTAAAACCCAGAGATCCATCTGCTTCCCCTCTGCCTCCTGATTGCCGGGATTAAAGATGTGTACTGCCACCTCCTAGCTTGATTCTTATTTGTGTCTCAGGCACCAGGTGTGCATGTTATGCACTGACATATGCGCAGGTAAGACACCCATATACTCGAAAAAATTTTTAAATATTAAAAAAAATAGTAAAACAAATGTTAAAACATGATCTCACAATAAATTAAGATGCTTTTAATACTTAAGCAGTGAAAGACTCACTTAGCATTTGAGCATCACAAACAAACAAAAAAACCCCACAGGGCCAGGGCCAAAGCTACAAAAGTTCAAGAGAGTTTGTCTAGAATCTAGTGCCTAACAAATATTCTTTTTTTTTTTTTTTCTTCGAGACAGGGTTTCTCCATAGCTTTTTGGTTCCTGTCCTGGAATTAGCTCTGGTAGACCAGGCTGGCCTTGAGATCCGCCTGCCTCTGCCCGGCCCTAACAAATATTCTATTTTTCATATTCCTTTGCTATGTTCTTCATACACATTTGTTTATTTATCATTTATAAAATATTGGCATTTTGGTAGAGATTAATATCAAAAGATTAACATCTAAGTTTTAATCAAATAAAAGCTAAGCCAAACTCTGGTTTCATTTGTGGCTAGAAGTAGCAGCCAGCAATTCTTATGGAATTTGTAGTTCATCCATTTATTTTTTTTTTTTTAATCTAGTTTCTCTCCCAAAATAGGTGGAGGTTTAGTGACCTGTGACACTTTGATTGTCAAATAGCATGTCAGCCACTATGTGGGTGCTGGAAACTGAACCTAGGTCTTCTGCATGAACAATCAGTGTTCTTAACACTTCCTTAGTTACTTCTAGCTCTCAAATAACATGCATAAACATGCTTAACCCTTTAATGTGTATAATTTTTTTTAAAGTTGAACTAAATAAATTAGTTTTTAGTAGGTAATCATAATCAGTTTAAGGCATTTTGGCATTTTAAATGATTTCCCCTCAGAGCTGTCTGTCTCTTCAAGTCTAGTTAACTAAGTCGGATGTACTATATCACATACAAACTTGGGAATAATTCTTGGATCTAAAGTTATAGACCAGAGTATATCTGTAGCTTGAAGTTTTTGAAAAGATTAATTATTGTATTTATTAAGAGTCTTCAGATATGGGGAATAATGTACTAAATCTTAGCCATTATTGAATTTTCCTTTCCTGTGTGTGTGTTTATATATATACATGTGTATGTATGCATGTGCACACATGCATGCAAGGTATATTCTTCAACCTGGAGCACTCCAACTTGGCCAGACTAGCAGGCCAGCAAGCTCTGGAGATTCTATCTCTGGCTCACCTACCACTTCTGCATCTGTCGGGTTAACAGATGTTGACTGCCTAGCCCTTTAATAAAGTTGGTTCTGAAAAACAGTCTAAGTTGTCTAAGGCTGCCCTTGAACTTCAAAACTGCAATTCTGCAGGCTGTCCCCCAATACCAAGCCTGTCCATAACTATAATTTTTATCTTCTTGAAATAGGGTTGATGTCTTTAAGTTTTTATACATTAAAAGTTGTTGTGTGTATGTAGTTTTTACCTGCATGCTTGTCGGTGCACTACTTGCATGGTTGGTGCCATTGGGGCCCGGAGGGGGTGTTAGATCCCCTGGAACCTGAGTTGCTCTATTATTGTCGTAAGCTGATGTGTGGGTGCTAGAACTCAAACCTGGGTCCTCTGAAAGGACCAGTGCTCTTAACCAGTAAACCATCTCTCCTGTTCCAGTTTTGTTTGTTTTATGAATTCTGGAGATTGCACTTAGAGCCTCATGTTTGCATAGCAAGCACATTACTGATTGAGCTTTCTCCCTAGCCCAAGTAGACAGAATGTCTGCCTGCCTGTTCATTTGTTTTATTTTTAATTGTGTTTGTGTGTGTATATGTTGTAGAGGCAGGGGTGGGAGCTGGGGACTGTGTCCTTGTGCACATAAGTGAAGTTTCTGCAGAGGCTGGATCCTGTTTAGTCAGGGTTACAGTAAGCTGTGATCTAAGAGGTGTGGGTGTTGGGATGGGAACTTTGGTCCTCATGATTGAACAGTAAGCACTCAGCCCCTGGAGCATCTCTCTCCAGCCCCTTTCATTTGCATAGTGTTTCTTCTGTGCACATGTATGTATGCGTGCCAGGGAGAGAGAGAGAGAGAGAGAGAGAGAGAGAGAGAGAGAGAGAGAGGAGAGAGAGAGAGAGAGAGAGAGAGAGAGTGTGTGTGTGAGTCAGAGGAGACTTACAGTTGCCTTTTCTTTTCCATTATGGTCCCAGGAATTGAATTTAGACCATCAGTCTTGGCAGCAAGCACCTTTACTTACTGAGCTATCTTGCTGGCTTCTAAGTATTTCTTCTTAACTGTAGTATATTATGTTTATGTTAAGGATACTGATGTCAGAAATGTTCAGGAAAAAAGTAGGTTCCTGGACAAAGTGCATTTAGACTTGGTGTACCCTTTGATGAGAATGTCACTCCCTACAAAGGTATTGTTAAGATGAAGAAACTTCTTGTATTAAAGAATGTTAGAAAGAGCCAGAAGGAAGCTTGGAAGTCATCTATTCTATCTTAAGTTTTTTAGTTTGAGGTGCTAAAAAATTACTTGAAAACAAGAGTTTTTTTAAATGTACTTTTTTTTTTGAGACAGTTTTTCTATGTAGCACTGGCTGTCCTGGAACTTGCTCAATAGACCAGACTCGCCTCAAACTCAAGAGATCTGCCTGCCTCTCCCTCCTGAGTGCTGGGATTAAAGGTGTGTGGCTCCACCACCTGGCTGTACGTTATTTTTTTAACGTAACCTTTGACCTCATTTTTCTGGCATATCATAACTCAATGATAGCTTTAGTTGTAACAATTGATAATTACGTAACGAAACCCATCTATTCCTTTCACCTTCATAGTGTGCATACTCTGTGCCAGTACTAAAATTTTGAGAGTTGTATTTGCAGCATATGAGTATATAACTAGTATTAGCTATAATAGTGTTTTGGGAGCTACCTTTGGCTACTGTTCTACTGATGTGAAGAAACACCATCAGCAGGATAATTTAGAGGAAAAGCATTTTAATTGGGGGCTTCTTTACAGGTCAGGGTTATTGTGGCCAGGAGCAGCTGGGCAGGCATGGGGTTGGAGCATTAGCTGAGAGCTTATTTGTTGAGGCACAACTAGGAAGGGGTGAGAGAGTGAGGGGGTGTGAAGTGGAGGAATAGCTGGAAATGGTGTGGGCTTTTGAAACCCCCAGTGACATACCTCCTCCAACAAGGTCACATCTCCTAGTTCTTCCTAAACAGTCCATCAACTAGGAACCAAGCATTCAAATATATGACCTAGGAGACCACTGTCATTGAAACCACCACAGGAGAATGACTAGAAAAGGAGATTTTTAAAATTATTTGCAGTTTTGAATTGTAGTATTATTTTCAACTTAGTGTTACCAGATTGATTAAAACTCTCTCTGAACCACTTCTCTTCTAATCCTAACTTGCTCGCTGTGAGGTGTGTGTAAACTATTTGGTGATCATTTCTAAGATGAGTAGATCAGTTCTGAAAGTCAGGCTTACATTAAACTTGGGGAACTGCGTCATACTAGAGGGAGATTTTAGTTGTTACTTTTTGGATTTTACAGGTTTGTAGTGCATTCCTGAGCATGAGTGCAGAATGAAGCGACGTTTGGATGACCAGGAGTCACCGGTGTATGCAGCCCAGCAGCGAAGGATTCCTGGAAGCACAGAGGCTTTTCCTCACCAGCACCGGGTACTTGCCCCTGCCCCTCCTGTGTATGAAGCAGTTTCTGAGACCATGCAGTCAGCTACAGGAATTCAATACTCAGTGGCACCCAACTACCAGGTAAGCTAGAGCCAGGGGAGGGAGTAGGAATAAGGGGTGAGAGTGGTGGTTTCATCCATTGAGAGTGGTTTTTATAGGGCATAGAGCTACCCACGAAAAACTTGATGTGAAATACATATGGAGATGTTTTAAATATATGCATATGGTAGTGCGCAAACCACCAGATAACAAAAGTCATGTAATGACCTCTGCAGTTCTCTGCATATTGCTTGTTGACCCTTAATCTTTCTTCCACCTCCTTAAGGCCTCTCTCTCTCTCTCTTTGTGAAATTTGTTCTCATGGAGTCCAGACTAGCCTTGGACTTCTGTCGTACTTTAGTTTCCCAGTTGTGGGGTTATAGGCTTGTGCCACCTTACCTTGCTTCTTTGTGTTAGTTAAGGTTAATTCCAGGGTCTTGTGCATATCAGTAACCACTAACCCTTCTTTGTTACTACCTTTTCCTTCTCTTCTCTTCTCTTCTCTTCTCTTCTCTTCTCTTCTCTTCTCTTCTCTTCTCTTCTCTTCTCTTCTTTCCTCTTCCTCTTCCTCTTCCTCTTCCTCTTCCTCTTCTCTTTTTTTTTTATCTTTAGGCAGGGTCTCACTGTGTAGCTGTGACTGACCTGCAAGTCTTGGTTTAGACCAGGCTGTCTGTCTCTGCCTCTAAGTGTTTGGATTAAAGGCATATACTACTACACCTCACTTGGCTTTTTTATTTTAATTTAACTCTTCAGTGATAGAGATTGAACTCAGACCCTCATGTGTGCCAGTAAGCACCTGAGTGTCAGTTTCTCAGGAGTCTCCTGTGAAGCAGTGTAATGCTTGCATGTCAGGCTGATGGAGCAGTAAGTAACAGATGATTATTAACTTAGGACTAGAAGAAAAGGGGTTTTGCTTGTGGGGTTATTTTTATTTTCCAAATAGATTTATAGTTATCTTGTCTGTTAGATATAGTTGTAAAAATCCTCAGTGGTGTGTGCTTGTAGTAAACGCAGCTGTCTCAGATATTAGCAGAGGATAATTAATGGTGCTATCTTGTTACTTCGAAGTTCTAGGGACCTGGTCCACAGCCCTTGCTTGCTGGGCAAGCATTGCCGCTGAGCTCAGATCTTCAGCCCATATAATTAAGTTTTTTTGTTGCTTTTTGTCTTTTTTGGGGGGGATGGGTTTAGAGAACAAGGTTTCTCTGTGTAACAGTCCTGGCTGTCCTGGAACTAGCTCTGTAGAACAGGCTGACCTTAAATTCTCAGAGATCCTCCTGCCTCTGCCTCTCAAGTGCTGGGAGTAAGGCATGTGCCACCACTGTCTGGCCATATGATTAAAGTTTTATGAAAACCTGTAAAACACATAATTTGAAATAGAAAAGCTCAGATTGAGACCCCTTATGAAACATGTATGTATTAGAATTTGTAGAATTTATTTAAATTTTTTTCCTCCCCCCCCCCCCTCCTTTTTTCTTCTTTGAGGTAAGGTCTCTTCCAACCCAGACTGTCCTTGAATTTGTTGTGTAGCTGACGAAGACTTAAATTTTTGGCCTCTGGCTTCCAGCTGTTGAGATTGCAGGCAAGCACCAGCACATCGTCTGAGAGCTGGAGGTGGAGCCCGAGGCTTTAGGAGCACTGAGCACATACTCTTTCAGCTGAGCTGCATCTCCAGCCCCTTCCATATTTTCTTATCCATTTTCTTAATAATATAATAATTTTCTTTTATATCTGTAATTTTACACACAGTTGTTTTTTCTCTCTCCCACACAGGGTGATTTTTATAAACTTGTGAGAATTTGTGAAAATCCTTGTTGTTTTCTAAGTTGGGGTGTACAGTTTATACTGCATAAAGAAAGTAGATTTTACATTGCTCAGTCTCCTCATTTGGAGATGAAACAGTCAGATCTACTGACATTAAAACTGTCCCTCCCCCCATTATTTACTTATTCTTCATTTTAAAGGCAGGATCTCCCTCTGTAGCTTAGGTTGACCTGAAATTTTCTATATCGATCCAGTAGACCTCAAACTTAGAGCAGCGCCACCTTCTTTAGCTTTTTAAGTGCTGGCATTATAGGCATGAGCTCCTACTTTCGGCTTTAATAGTTTTGAAATAGGAGAAGTGCTCAGGAAATTTATTACTATTATTATTATTTGTGACAGGGTCTCACTGTATGTACTTATATACACACACATATACTCACTATATATACATATATACGTGTGTGTGTGTGTGTGTTGGCTGTATTTGCCTGCCTCCACCTCCCTAGTGCTGGGATTAAATATATGTGCCCCACACCTTGCTGAAATTGCTGAAATTGAATTATTTTTAACATCTGTAGAACATTAAATATAGGAGGGCTATAACATCAGTAATTCCTTTTTTTTTCTGGGACATTTAGTTTTGTTAGTTTCTTTGTGCATGAAGAAATACATAGGCATGCTTTGTAGATTTGTGTTATTTCTCAGATGTGTTTGAGGAAGAATGCCCAAGCCTGAATTTGTCTGTATTTTTCTTATCCAGGTCTCGGCTGTGCCACAGAGTTCTGGCAGTCATGGGCCCGCCATAGCAGCAGTTGACGGCAGTCACCATCACCCCACAGCTGTCCAGCCTCACGGAGGCCAGGTGGTCCAGAGCCATGCCCACCCAGCGCCACCAGTTGCACCAGTGCAGGGACAGCAGCAGTTTCAGAGGCTAAAGGTGGTATTCTGTTTCTTTACTTGGGTCACTGTGTCTTCTGCAGGAAGTAATGCCTTCACCTAAGAGAGTGGGGTTTGAATTACAAGAAGTTTTGCTTTTGAAACCTATGTGTATTTCCTTTTTTGTTTATTTTCCTGTGTCTGTGCCTAATCCAGAAAAACATACACTCAGAAAATGTTGACTGTATGAATGCATGATACTCAAACACACCAGAATTGAAGGATCACTTAGAAAATGAAGTCTGGGTTTGAGGTGCTTTCTTTTAGACGTAAGACTTCTTAGTATTATAAGAGTTTTATTGAGTACACAGATATCTGGGAGCAGTCCAATTTGGGAATAACAAATTTGCACCATAATGTAAAATACAGCTCAAACTTAATATTTCTATGCTCTGAACATCTGAATTTGTGGGCATCTTTAAATCTGTGCTTTGTAAAACATGTTGCTTTTGAGGCACATTTTATAATGCAGTTTGGGGACAATAGTTGTGACTGAAGTGTCAGTGTTTTCATATGTCCTGCTGAATGCATAGTGGTGCTGTGGAGTACTTGAGGCATCTGGGAGAACTGGTTGAAGCTTGTGTTTCCAGCTAACCTTTTTGTTCCATTTTTTGTTTGAGTATTGTTGGTGTGTGTGTGTGTGTGTGTGTGTGTGTGTGTGTGTGTGTGTGTGGCATTTGCTTAGTTTTCAATTTTTCTGATTTATACTTAGGTAAATCAGTTTGAAACCACATACAAAACAATGTAAATTAAAACTGAAGTGAGAGTTGTTTTATCTTCATTTGGTTATAATAGCTTAATTCTATCTAGGGGCTTCCATGTGGGAGGAGCAGTATGCCCCGAAATGCATCTGTGTGTCAAAAATGTCTGATCTTTGTTTTCCCTAATGTAGTCCTTCCTCTTACCTGACAGCTTGCTTTCTGCTTTTTCATTTACCCACAGTTAACTTGTTGAAAACTGGGAAAAAAATTTCCAGAATAAGCAATATATAAACTTTAAATACTGTGCCATCATGGTTAATATTTTGATGAAATCTCATTCAGTCTCCCATCCCAAGTGGGATATAAATCATCCTTTTTTTAGCAGACTGACTGGTTTTAGTTTTGCAGGTAGACTACATGAGATTATTCCCTTGCTGATGCTTCTGACATTCTTCACAGGGCCTCATGTACTTGTTTGCTAATGTGTACTTGTCTGTAGGTTTCAGTTTATAAATCACCTTTTTGATTTTCCTTGCTTTGACAGAGAAAGTGATGCTGTTTCCATGTGCTGTTATGACTTTCGGTCGTTGTTTTACACCCATTGTGTTAGGAGTTATACTAGATAAGAGCAGTTTCTGTGCAGTTACGATTTTAACTTGTTATTGAATCTTCACCACCTGTGTTGGTTGTGCTGTATTGTATCTTAGCACGTACTTACAAAATGGCTACGTGAATATTATGGTAATATAATTATTAGTCACTGATCATTCCCTATAGAATTATCCATGGCAAGAGTACAGAATTTGAGTTGATTTTTTTGTTGTTGTTGTTTTAAATTTGAATCATATTTTAAGTGTTCATACTAATTTCTGGTACTTCATATATAATTCACTTACTGTCTTAATTTGAGGATGGATGATCTGTTGTTAAAAAGTTTTGACTTCTTACATATTTGCAATGTATCCCTGCCTCAGGTGGAGGATGCCCTGTCCTATCTTGACCAGGTGAAGCTGCAGTTTGGTAGTCAGCCTCAGGTCTACAATGATTTCCTTGATATCATGAAGGAATTTAAATCTCAGAGGTAAAAAAATTTGTGCATTGAAGTTTGTGCTTGGCATTTTTTAAGAGTTTTATTATATATATTATATATATATAGTGCTCTGTCTGCATATATGCCTACTCGCCAGAAGAGGGCACCAGGCCTCAATACAGATGGTTGTGACCTACCTTGTGGTTGCCGGGAATTGAACTCAGGAACTCAGGAAGAGCAGTCAGTAGTACTCTTAACCTCTGAGCTATCTCTCCAACCCAGCATGTAGATTTTTAGTGGGAATATGTATATATACACACACACATCACCCCCTTTTATAGATTATTATTTTCATCGGGGGAATGCTTTTGAGATTAGGGTCTTGCTATATGTAGTTCAGAGTGGCCTTGAACTTTGGGCAGCCCTATTGCCTCAGCCTCTCAAGTGGCATGTACAGCTATGCATCACTGTATTTTGATTTCATGATGGAAATTGCAGAGTTTTTAGGCTTTTTGTTTGTTTGGTTTTTGGTTTTTCGAGACAGGGCTTCTCTGTGAAATAGTTCTGGCTGTCCTGTGTACTAGAAAATTTTAACTACACTCTTTCTTGGTGCTTATTTCAGTCAGGGAGGTAATAGCGGTAAATTGATTTTATTTATTTATTGTTGTAAGATGCCCTGCTATTCTGGCATGACTGTGTGAGAGTAACTCACCTGAACAGTCTAGACATAAAACCCATTACAGTCATACTGGTATATTAAAGATTGGGCCCAGCTTGGGAATTATAGAGATGTACTCTGTGTACATCTGTTTGATAGAATTGTGTGCATGAATGTATATTTTATTTAAAATTTTGACCAAACCTATAACTCTAAAGCTAAGTGGCTTTGGAATTTAAGTTCTTTGGCCTTGGTTATTATGTTTTCCTGTTTAGAGAAAATATAGAAGTTAGTTTTCCTTTAGGTTTTCTGTCAAGCCTGCCTTTTATCACTTCTCTTTCTTTGTAATTGTTTTTGTCAGCACTGATACTCCAGGTGTGATTAGCAGTGTATCCCAGTTATTTAAAGGCCATCCTGACCTGATCATGGGCTTCAATACCTTCTTGCCTCCTGGCTACAAAATTGAGGTGCAGACTAATGACATGGTGAACGTGACAACTCCTGGCCAGGTTCATCAGATCCCCACCCATGGCATCCAGCCCCAGCCTCAGCCACCACCTCCACATCCTTCTCAGCCTTCAGCCCAGTCAGCTCCAGCTCCTACTCAGCCAGCTTCTCAGCCCACACCTGCCAAAGTCAGCAAGGTGAGTCATGGGAAGACACCGCATCTCTAGACAGTACTTCTCAGACATTCCCCTGTATTAGACTCAGATAGATATCCAAGTTACAACAGTGATGTCGTTAGAGAGGATGCTGACATCTCACCCCAGTCACATGGTTCATGTTTATACTTAAGTCATCATGCCAGTAGACTGTAGGACTCTGCCCTCCGCTTCTGTTTAGTTAGCCTCTGAACTGGCTCTGTAGTAAGTAGTCCTTTGACTCCACAGGTGGGAAGAAATGAAAGTATGTGTGTGGTTTGCTTTGTTTTTTGACTAGGGTTTTCTGTGTTGCCCAGGCTGGCCTTACAATCCTGGGCTTTGGTGGTCCTGAGTAACTGTAACTCTAGGTGTTACGAACACACCTAGCTCAGAAATGATTGTTTTTATTATGGTCAAATTAGACTCTACTTACATGATTGCCATTTTATAAAGGTTGCAGAGCTGGGCATGATGACATGTCTATAAATCTCAGCACTTGGAAGGTGGAGGTAGTCGGATAAGGAATTTGATGATACCCTGAATTGTATAAAATACTGCCTCAAAAACCACAATCAAGTTGCTCCATTTGGCAGGTCAGCTGATAATCACGATAAGTGGAAGATACTCTTGATCTAGAAAGAATCGTCATTAGCTACATAAGATTGGATTTTAGGTCAAGCAAATCCAGCGTTTTAGTCATATTAGCTAAATTTTATGTCTCAAGAACCAGCATGTAGCTGGTGGCTCTTGTGTCTGATGACATTTTAGAGCGCTCTATTGAACAGAGCTGGTGTAAAAACATTTCATATTGGATTATGGGCACAATTAATTGTGGTGTTATTCTTGACATTAAAAATCTGTGTAGGATGAGTTTTTCTTTTCAATTTGCACCTGTTAAGCTAGTGAGCTTAAAATTTGCTTGTGAAAAATTTATAATTAGAAATAGCCTTTTATTTGAGGTTGTATTTAGAAAATTTGATGTTGAGATAGTGTCAGAATGTGAAAAGTATTATGTATCATTTGAATTGAACCAAAATGGCTTGGCTTAATTGATCAGTACTTAATGGCTTAGATGAGTTAAAAAAAAAAAAAAGATATGGGTTGATCAAATACCTTGATTTTTTTTTTGTTTTGGGTTTTTGGTTTGAATTTTCTTCCCTAGTGTCAAACCACCTATGCTCTTGAGGAAAATAAAGACTTTTTTCTTTTTAGCCTTCCCAACTACAAGCACATACTCCAGCCAGTCAGCAGACTCCCCCACTCCCACCATATGCATCCCCACGTTCTCCACTGGTCCAGCCTCACACACCAGTGACAATCTCCTTGGGAACGGCCCCATCTTTGCAGAACAATCAACCTGTGGAGTTTAATCATGCCATCAACTATGTTAATAAGATCAAGAACAGATTCCAGGGCCAACCAGACATCTACAAAGCATTCTTGGAGATTTTGCACACATACCAGGTAAGGGGGTTACTCATTTATCCCCCTTTAAGCAGGTCTTATACTCTTAGACTCTGATCCTCTTCCCTCAGCCTCCTAAGTAGATGGGATGTTGGTTGTTGCCAGCACACCTAGCTCAGAAATGGTTGTTTTTGTCGTGGTCAAATTAGACTCATACATGTCTGTCAGTCTCTGAGTATTTATCTAGTCTGAGGAGAGCTAGAATATCCATTACGCCCAATAGTTCTTACTGGGAATATTACCTGATTAGAACTGTAATGGTGTTTAGGAAGTCACTTGTACTCACCTGCTTTGCTCGTTCTGCAGCATCTTGTCAGGATTTTTAAGGTCACTAGCTTGTTAAGAGCATGCTTGTTTCATGGTGCAAGTCTCTGAGAGTAATTTGTATATCATGATTAATTTACAAGAGAACATGGACAAGATTTTCTAATGTCTTGTGTTTTATCAGTTTAATTGACAGCATTTATATGTTCTTAGTTTTATAAAGACCCGTCTTTCAGCATCTTTTTCAAAGGCTGCAATCAAAATAGTAATTAAATACTTCCTTTAATGTAACTTAAGTAGATAACATAATTTAGCCGTATCACATATTTCAGAAAACAATTGTTCCATGTGTGGTGTAGGATTCAGAGCAGTATGTATCATCTGTCTCTTTTGTCATTCTTCAGAAAGAACAGCGGAATGCCAAGGAAGCTGGAGGAAACTACACTCCAGCTTTGACCGAGCAGGAGGTGTATGCCCAGGTGGCACGTCTCTTCAAAAACCAGGAGGATCTGCTTTCTGAGTTTGGACAGTTCTTGCCAGATGCCAACAGCTCGGTGGTAGGTCTCATTTAGACAAACTATATTATTTAAGATTGTCACTATAACTGTGAAAGCTATAGTTACAGTGGACTTTTTAGATGACACTTTGATCAGATTATTAATTTCTCATATGTCTTATCAGCTTTTAAGCAAAACAACTGCTGAGAAGGTTGATTCTGTGAGAAATGACCACGGGGGTACTGTGAAGAAGCCCCAACTGAACAACAAGCCACAGAGGCCCAGCCAGAATGGCTGCCAGATCCGCAGACACTCTGGGACAGGAGCCACGCCACCAGTGAAGGTGAGAGTAGACAGTAAGGTGGTCAGAACCTGTATATCCAGAGCAAGTACTATAGGTCACAGAATTTCCCTACAGAGCTTCTTAGCAGCTTTGCAAAAGGTAGGTAGGAAGAACACTCACTGTGTGGATTCGTGTGGTTTTTGTTATTTTTTTTTCAGTCTTTGCATTTTTCCTATATTATCTCTTCTTTGCTATGAACCTCCTACTCTTTTTTTTTTTAACCAAGATTTACTAATTCTTATCATGATCAAATGTGTTAAACATGCCTTGTGTTGCAGGAAGAAGATTGATAAAATTGATAAATTGATAAACCTTAAATAAGTAAATGGTGTCTGAGGAAGCTCAACTCTTTTGAGGATAGTGCCCCTGTAATGGCAGAGGCTTTGTTCAATCACTTTGACTAGGGGTCTGTCCTGTCCTGTCCTTGATTCTTTTGGGGTTGACAGATCTTACCTGTTTTTTCTTAGTTTTCCAGGAAAGCAATTTGGGCTGTGCTAGAGGGAAATCTTAACCTCCTGTTAGTAACTTCCTACAGTAACTGTCAATAGAAAACCTAGCTTGTTCTCTTTGNTGGGGGTACTGTGAAGAAGCCCCAACTGAACAACAAGCCACAGAGGCCCAGCCAGAATCTGAAAATAACCCAAATGTACCTCTTTTACATCTAGGATAAATGAGACATCAACCTTTTAAATATCCATGAGTATCACAAAATATCTTGGAGTAACTTTAAGCAAGCAGGACAGAAGTTTGAGTCCCGTCATCTCTGTTTGTGAAGGCAGAAATGTTTTTTATTTTTAACCATTATAATTTGTAACTTTGGCCCTTGATAAATTTAGCAAGACACCTGAGTCTCAGTAGTCCATCTTGAAGTGACACCTGGCAGCAGGAAAGGGCCATAAGCTGAGACAATAAGACTCCCACCCAAGAGTGGGCCATACAAAATGGAAAAATTTGTATAAGAATTTTAACTCCCTTTAGAAAAAATTAAGACATTAGAAAACAAAAATATCTCCTATTTTCTTGGGAAAGTAGAAGAAACACAGCAAAAATGACAATCTCATTGAAAGTAATTTACAGATCCAGTGTAAATGTCCATTAAAAATTATAGCAACATTTTTTTACAGAAATCGAAAGAACAATCCTCAACTTTATAGGAAAGAAATAAAAACTTAGGATAACCTAAATAATTTTAAAATCCTCTGAATGTATTATAATTTTTGATTTTAAAACTTTTTTACAGAACCATAGTACTAAAATTAATTTATCTTGGATATAAATTTATACGCTTACAAAAAAAAGATTTTGACCAAGAAGCAAGATTTTAAAATGGAAAAGAAGCATATTTAACCTCCTTTTTTATTGTCCTGAAGTTGTAGCCTTTTGAGTCTAGATTTCTTTATAGCAAACCTGTCTCTAGCAGTTTCAGGAACTCATTCAGTAAGTAGACCAAGCTGGCCTTGAACTCAAGAGCTTTTAAAGGCTTGTACCAGCACACCTGGTTTATTTCCTGGGCTGATTAATTGCTCCTATACCAGCAGGGCAGTTCCTTTTGAGGCGTCCTGACCTTTTGTATTGAAAACAATTTCTAGGTCTAGCTCCATTTTGGCCTTCCTTGAGCGCAGAAACAATTACCTGGCCCATTATGTGAGTGTCATCAATGTCTCTGCATAATCTGATAAAGTCATTCAAATCTCCATCTCTATGGGGGCGTAAAACTTCCTGGCAAAACTTATTAGCATTTTCAAAAGCCAGATGCTTAAGGACTGGCATGGCTGAATCCACATCCCCAAAAATGAGACTTCCCACCTGTAGAAGGCGGTCAATGAATTTAGAATAAGGTTCTGAAGATCCTTGAAGGATCTTAGAAAGCTGTTCTCGTGATCCTTTGTTAGGTAAAGTTTTCCAAGCCTTAATGGCTGCTGCAGCTATCTGAGCATAAATCGCAGGATCATAAGCAATCTGTGCTTCTAAGCCAGCATATTGTCCTTCACCAGTTAACATGTCAAG